CACGTTATAGTGTAAATAGTTACTGTCGGCTGTAACCATGCCAGTACAACAACAAACTCGTTAGTGAAGGCATTCTCCGATAAAAATATCTCAGTTTTTATATGAAAGTCTGGTTGCATATATATATTATAATTATAACTGTTTTAGTTTTAGATTTAAAATATGATGTGTATGTTGTTGTGTTAAATTTTAGGCCAAAATTTGATTTTTCTCAGTTCATTTTTTCACACCAGGGGCGATTCTAGAAGCCCTTTTTAGGGGCCTTAGCCCCCCCAGTGTTGACTATGGCTTTAACTACACAGTGTGTATTAGCATTAGAATTACTGTAGGGGGGACATATTGGTGCGAGGTCTGTGGGTCCTCCCCCATAACTTTTTGAATAAAGTAGCTGCTATTTCCTGCATTCTGGTGTATTTTAACAGGTTTTAAAATATCTATGTTTACTTGCATTAGGAATGTGCGATATGGCATAAAATTCATATCACGATATGTATTGTGAAGGGTGACGATAACGATATATATCGTGATATGTTTTTGGTATAAAACTTGCTAAAAAAAAGCATAGGGTGTCCTTTTGCCATCATATATTTTGAATTAAGAAAATTCCACTACTAGGTCCAGAGAGTTTTTAAATAATAAACAAATCAAGTATTAGGCTTCTTGCTTGTAGTGCAAAACAGTGCAAAATATATCAAATGTAGTTTTAGCCATATGTTTTAAACAAAAAAAAATGTTGTTAAGTCTTAACAGTTTGAAGTCTTACTCAAGACATGAACAGCAACAGAGCAGCATTTTACACTGAAACACTTCACCCTCCAACCCTCTAGTGGGCGTCTCCTTCTGCTTTAATGGAGAGCTGACACAAAATGAGTCTGTGGCTTTGACCAGAGGGTCTCGCAGTAAAATCACACAACAAAGCATTCTTTTCACAGATCAGAGAGCAGGTTTCTCTAAAGCTGACCAACGCTTACTTTAACTTTCGACGGAAAAAAAAAAAAACTTTTGACGGAACACAGCGTTTTGCGCATGCGTCAGAATACGGCAACACTATGGCAAGTCGGCTGTAGTTAGCTTGTAGCTTCGCTACTTAGCTCTCGAAGAAATACTTTAACGTCACTTGCGCACAGTTTTCAACAAAAAAAAGTAAGGATTAAATCTGACAGCTCTGATTTTACACTTTAACACCACTTACGCACAATTTTCAACTAAAACAAAAGTAACAATTAAACTGACAACTCTGATTTTACTTCAGACACAGCATTACTGCGGTTAGCCGGTAGAAGACAGATCTATATCGTAGGCTAAATTTCTATCATTTCTACCGTGTACCGTTTATATCGCACATTCCTAACTTACATAAGTGAATACTTGATTCAACAACTGTTTTAGAAAGCACAGTGTTTCCCCTAGTTAACTTGCCATGGCGGGGTGCTCATCTCATCCATGATTTTCGTTGATGGGGGGACGGACACTTGTCTGAGCGCAGCTTGTACTAACAGTTTTTGAGTGGGGGCAGGGGGCGTTTAGCATGAGGGAAGAGGCAACATGAGTGCTTCCTTTAGCTTTTTAGCTAGATAACCTGTATTTCTCGCTGCTAGCTTAGGCCCTATTTACACAGACACGATGGGGGGAAACATAGGTTTTTTCGTATGTTAATTAGAGGAAAAGATTTGCGTTGACACGGTCGGATTTTGGGTTTACATGCATCCGGAGGATTCACCCCCTGCCCTCCCGAATCCACTGTAGTTACCATGCCAGGTCATTAGATGGCGCTGTGAATTTTGTACCTTCACTTAATGCGCATGCGTGCTGCCTCGGCACGTTGTTTTCCTCTGGGCTAATCAGCTAACAACAACGTAACAACAAGTTAAAGGTGGATTTTGGATGAGGGTCGACAGATTTGACGCCAAGCGGGACGGCTTCATCTAACAGCTCCACACCGGTCGCTGAGTGGACCAGAACTGTCGACGATGTCGGACTTTACTCCGTGATAATCAGTAGCTGTTTCACAGCAGGTAAATCAAATGTTCTTAATAATGTTAGCTTGTATTTACTTCGGTTACAAAACAAACAACTGAGTTTTTATTTTTCCTGAAAGAAGAAGGAGCTGTCCTTCCACCATGCGGGCCGGTTCTGAACGAGGCTCGGCCCTGATGAACTGCAGGAGGACGTCAAAGAGCGAGGTTGATGAACTATTTGTTTAAAATTCCCCTCAGTTCTTTTATTCAATCCATTCAAGTTCAGTTAACTTGTTTTTAATAGTGTGTTCAGTTTAATTATCAGTGTTTGTGTGACATACAGTTTGTGGTGTTGAATAAATAAATAAAAATTAAACCTGATGTCTTCATTTTCAACTTTAGTGTTCACGCTATATGTTTAGCATCATTTTAAATTTGAATTACATAATGTCCAGACAGCTTCATTTAGCTCAGAGCTTCATTATATCTCGCATACTAACATAAATACTGTTAATTATCATTAAACTGTTATTATTTAGCACATTTAGTATGTTATAGTGCAGCGCGACGTGTGCGCATGCCTCGTTCTATAAACAGTGATATTAGAACTGGATCAGATTGTCTCTCTTCCAACACAGATGTCAGTCACAGCACCTGGAATCGGACATAGATTAACTACGAGATTAAAAATATATTCCATCAATCATAGTTCAGAAAGCAGTGTGTCTGCCGCCATGTAGAAATATAGCGTCTGTCCGCACGTGAGTGTTCACATGTGGTTTAACACAAAGCCTCAGCGGGAGATGTTTACATTATCAGCGGGGGGTCAGCGAAAAACCTCCTCTCTGAAAGGTGGATTCAGAAACCTCCGGATTCAAATAGGGGGGCCACTGGTGTTGTGTAAATGATCAGCAGAACCACAGAGAGAAAGCTGCGGATGCACTCAAAATATGTGCCGTGTAAACGGCCCCTTAGTGCTTTGTCAGTGCTGGGTGGGCAGGTGGGGGGCAAGTTTGGTTTGGTAGGCGGGGTGCTCAATTCGATTTGACAGGTGGGGCACCCCACTTGTATAATGGTAGGGGAAACACTGAAGCATGGCACAACAAGAAGTAGCACTAAGCTTTTTGTTTGTCTTTAATTTAATTTAATTTTTCCACCTAACACAGGAAGCTGTTAGCTCTGGAAGCAAGCTGTAAAACAGCTTTGGACACAAAGACCCTTGTCACACACTTCAAAAGAGCAGGTAAGATACATAAAATCTTGTAATCTCTGCCTGGTGAGGCTGCTTAAATAATTATAAAATATGATAAGTGAAATAAAGAAAAACTGAGCTACTGTAATTTATAATTGCAAATGTCACATTTTCGTGACTTAATATCAATTGTAAATCTCTTGTATTTGATTAAAAAAAAATTTCCAAAAGAAAGGCCAACAAATTGTAATTTGTAGTCACAGTAACCCTATTTTGACTTGTGCACTTCACTTTTAGGTTACACAAGGCTCTGGACTGGTCAAGCTGTGGAGAGACAAGGTGGAACACCAGACCTGCAATGATCCAGTCTGTAAATGATGCTCTGAAGTCTGGTAAGCTGCACGACATCCTGGTTCACCCAAACGAACTCGTTACCTCAACCACATAGACTGAACTTCTTGAGGACGTCGTCCAATGTATAATAATGCCTTTAAACATTTTTATTTGTTCTCTTGCTTGATACATTATTTTTCTTTTTTTGTTTGTTTGTTTAAACAATTTAAAACATGACAGTAATGTCACTGTCAAATCATGTTGCTGCTGATCTGTTTCAATGTTGATGTGTTTATGCGTGCTCATCTGCTCACACAGACTCATGTTCATGTTTGTGCTGATGTTCGACGTAATGTTTTTATGTTATGAGTGCTTAGTGTATATTTAGTTGTTTTTCTTAGTTCATATCTTAGATGTTATTACTGTTTTTCTTTTACATTTTATTGTTGGATGTAACTGGGACCCTGTGTACATAATTTCGATCCACCACATGTACCACATGAGGTGCGAATGACAATAAAGAAACTCTGACTGTTTAAAGGAAACAATTGCTCAATAAATTAGTAAAATGCAACTTGGGTTCTTTCATCTAATGTAGACACGGTGTGACTCATGTACTGTTTTTGATTTTTTTGTTTTTACTGTAAATGACCTTCAAAAGAGCTAGAAACAGGGACTCAGCAGCCGATCCTCCGTAGAAAAATTATATGAACTACAGGCTATGTGTTAGGACATTTAGTGAAGGTTTTTGTTTGGATTAAGGAAATAAATGTCTCTATTTCACCACAGATGAACTGTTCCTGTTGCCATATCTTTTGAAATAAAACTGCACAACACAAAGTAATTTAAACAGGAATGGGTAGAAGATTAAATCAAAGTCAATGTATTTCCTAAAAATTAAATGAAGATAAAAAAACAGGAGCAGGACAGGAGTGAGAGTGATTTTGAACAGGAGCAGGACAGGAGCAGAAGTCATGTTACCAGGAGTGGGATAGGACAGGATTTTTTTTTTTTTTTACTCTGGACCAGGATTGGTACAAGACAGGATTTTTGCCGTGGGACCAGGACAGGACAGGACAGGAGTGAAAATCCACTCCTGTGTCATCCTCTACCGTGCACGCTCTCGCGGCCACCATTTGGCAATCAAGCAATTTTTAGCACAACACTGGTCCACATTTCCAGGTTGTCAGCGGTGACGCGTAACAAACACGACGCATCAGCGGTGACGCATAATAGATGCGACGGATGTGGTGAAGCGACTCATTTATGGATTTTTCCACTTTATCAAGACATATTTGGACCGATGCGACTTATAGGGTGGTGCAACATGTACAGCTGAAAATACGGTGACAGTTGCCACTAACTGGAAATCAACTGTTGTAAGTTAGTAGCAACTCTTGGACGTCAAATCTACGACTTTTTAACTTTCCAATGCTGTTACTATATCGACTGAAACTCGCCTGATCTTAGCTATGATGTCAGCTGCAGCTATTTTTACTTGTATTTTTTTAACCTACTTGAGTTGCTGGAGCCAAGATAGTATGCGCTTCATATCGTCATTGATGGTTTTTTCAATGTCATCCAGCATGGACTGATCTACAGGAAGAACAAACAATTTTTTGTTTAGAGATGAGAATGTGACAATAAGAATACAATTTATTGTTCATGTTTTAAAATAACAACAAAACAGCATCTCCAGGACAGATATAAATATAAAACGAGTGAGTATAAATTGGTTTCTTTAACTGAGCTCCCAAAACATGTATTTTAACACGCATTGAGCACAGGAACCAACTTAACATAAATAAAACAAGCAGAAAAAGTTACAATTGAATAAATGCTCCACTTTACCCAATCCATACAGCATGGGCTGAAACATGCCAGAGTGAAGGTCTACAAAAATGTGCAGGCACTCCGACCGACCGCAGGGTTTAAGTATTGGAATAACCAGAGTGGGCAGAGCGGTTTCAATGAATGCTGGGAACAAAACAAATCAAACATTGATGTCATACTCCACAGAAGCATACAGATATTAAATGACAGAAGTAGAACGTGGAATTTGTACAATTAACACTTAAAGGCTACATAAGATTTTAATAATGCAGTTAATCAACATCAAATCCCACAAAAACAGTTCAGTTTGTTATCTTCCACAAGTAAAATTATGTAAAAGGACTGCAGCTGATTGAGCAGATCTGGGGTTTAAAAGATTTGCAAAATGAAAAGCTAAGAATACGTTAGATTTTTCAGTAATAAAAAAAGATGAAATGCAGACAATTGTCACTGGGATTGCTGGTTTTTAAAATGGCCTTGAGTTCCTGTAGCTTCTGATGGGCGCGGGCGTGAACACTGTCAATCAAAAGTTTTTCCACAGAGAGGTGGTCAATCTAAACAACAAATAAGAATAAAAAGTTTAGTTATTTTACTGCCCAGTTTTTTACATTTATATTAAAGTGTGTAAGCTTTACCTTCATGGCTCGCTCCATTAATTTTGAGTCACAGGCAGGCAGAGGAGGCTCATGGGAGATTTGTAAAGGCTTTGAGCCATCCGATTCATCAATCTTGATGGTGACTTTATGAACGGACGCTGTGCCTGTTTTCTTACCCAAAACTTGTTGACTGGAGGGTAAAATATATATTTACATATAAATATTATTATTATTATTATAAAGTTTTATTCATTTTTTAAAACAATTCTGCATACAATAAGAAATACAATCACAAATAAAATGAAAGGCAGCAGAAGAAAGAAAAAAATCTTATATCTGCCCCTTTTTTTTTTACCAAAAAATTAATTCAAACAATAATAATCTTCAAAATAAAAACAAAATAAACAACTCCTTCTCGAGCAACAATTCATACAAATACACATTAAGCTATTTCATATTTTTTAACAAATCAACTTTGATCATTCTCTTAAACATACCCATTGATCTGGCATTTTTAACATCACTCTCCATATTATTCCATACTCTAATTCCTTGGATGGAAGTAGACTGTCCCTTCAAACTAGTTCTAAATTTCGGTTTCACAAATATCACCATCCCCTTAAGATTATAACAACTCTCTTTTAACAAAGTTTAATTGGTTATTTAAAGGTAATGTATTATTATGAGCCCTATACATAATTGATAAAATACTATAATCTGCCTAATCATGGAACTTCAATAACTTCAGTTCATAAAATAATGTACTTGATGGGTGACTGAAATGCTTTCGAGTAATAATTCTTACAACTCTCTTCTGTAAAACAAAAATAGGATTTGTAATTGTTTTGAACAGTTTCCCCCAAACATCAATACAATATATAATATAACTGTTTTCAGTGAGGTTCTTAATTTGAGAAAAAAGTGCTTGTGACCAAGTCTTACTTCCAGACTGAAAGTGTGAGGTATTTAGCAGGCACGTATTTCTCCTCCTGCACCAGGTCTCCCCATCGCTCCCTGATCAGCATTAGTGTCTGGGAGTGAAGCACCTCGAGCTGCAGTGACAGACAGAAGGAATCTGAAGACGGTCCAGTTAAAGAAAAGACATGGTGGGAAAAATACAGTTTAAGGTGAACAGAGTATTTCACTTCATTAGCATTCCAAATGTGCACATCCTCAAGTCAGGTTTATTAGTTAAAGGACTGTTTGTGCCCAACACAGACAGCTCTTTGACATAGCAGAGGATGGAAGGAAGCACACATTAATTAGCATTGTGATTAGCACAGTCGTGTGCTCTGCTTGCATGCTTAACTTTCTGATGATAGCGTGAATGCTAATAGCTGATTCTTTCAGCATGAAAGCCCAAGACGTATAGCAAAATTTTGCAGCTCTAAGATGACTTCCTGATTAAACAAATGTGGTTAACCTTTTTTGATATTTAAAAAAAAAAAGAAACCAAAAGAGATTTTTTTTTTTGCCTGGGATTTTCATATTTATGCGTGTATCTATTCAAATATGTGCTGAAACACATGCGTCCATAAAAACTTTAAAACTCTTCACAGAATGTGGGCTAAAATTCAGAACAGTACGATAATTTTTGGACTGTGGTAACTATAATCTCATCCCGAGGCTGCAGGTTTGAGCCCAGGTTGCGTCAGGATGGGTATCTGGTAGGGCTGGGTGATATGGACCTAAATTAATATTTCAATATTTTTAAGATGAATGGCGATACAAAATATATATCTCAATATTTTTTCTTTCCATAAAGTAATAACAAAAATATATTTCTGAGTCAAAGCTTAGTCTTAATTGTCACACAGGCACATTTATTAACAAACAGCTGTAATTGTACGAAATAAATGTCTAAAAAATATATTTTTCCTCCATAACAAAACCATAAACACAGTGTGCACTTAAAATTTAAACAGAATATATAGAGCAAACATAATGAAAGGCTGACTTGCTCCTTAAAAAGTCTGATTCTAATGAAGTACCATATTTTCTGGCATATAAGTCGCAGTTTTTTTGCATAGATTTGTCAGACCTGTGACTTATACGCCGAAGCGACTTATATACGTTTTTTCCCCCGATATTCATAACACAATTTTTGACAGATGCTTTAAATGTCTAAGAATGGCAACAGCGAGTCCTCCCCTGCGTGCTCGCTTCACTCAGCTGGTGCAGGTGGAAGAATGTTGGGAGAGCTAGTGGCTACAGCCGTGATGTATGGATGAATGGCGCTGCACACCCTTAGTGAAATTAAGCTATTTTACCCATTAAATAAATACATAATAAATGTGACTTATACGCCGAAGCAACTTATTGTTGTTTTTGTTGTTGTTTTTTTCTCTGCTTTTTTTGACTGATGCGTCTTATACTCTGAAGCTACTTATACACCTGAAAATATGGTATATTAATTCAACCTTTATTAACAAAGCAGTTAGAAAGCCCACATTGTTGTGTAGATGGCTTGTTTACCAAGCTCAGTTCTGTTTGGTTATGGCTTGTTTCTTTGTGAATTTCATGGTTCCTATGCTCTTTGGGGAGCCGAGATGGGGTAGAGCCAGGGCAGCCAACTCAGGGCCCAAAAGTCTCAGGTTCGATTCCCAGTCAGTGCACATCTCGTGGCGTCTCCGAGCAGGAAACCTTATCCCCAATTGCTCCCTGGGTGCTTTCAATAGCTGCCCACTGCTCCACCTGAGTGTATCCCAGGAGTAATGGGTTAAATGCAGAGAGCCAATTTTGCCATTGCATGGGAACATACAATGACAACACATAACACATTATTGAATGCACCGTGGCTGTTCCAGCGCTACTGAACACACCGCTCTGTGTCAAGTGCTATGCGTTGGGAGATTTTTCTCTCCCGACACAGGCAGAGCCTTGATGTTTGAGCTTCTGTTTGTGCTTTACTTGTTACTGCTGTGTGTAAATACCAGACACAACAAATATATCACCCTAAATTGGATATTTGTGTCCATATTTATTAACGAGAAGACAACTTCAACTGCTCTAAACCAGGTACTGTGATTTCCTGGAAAACACCAACCAACAGCTACCCAGTCATTTTGACTCCTATCAGGAATTTACAACCATGTCACCAGAGTGTCTCCAATGTGAACAAAGACCTATTGTGACGATTATTATCTGCATATGCATCTAGCTTGTTCACAGTGGGAGCTGCAGCAGCAGGCAGTTTGACACAGCAGGAGGCAGGGGGAGCAGGTGAGGGGCTGGGCTTGTATTCAGTGAAGGGAGGAGGAGGGGTCACATGATGAAACAGACTGTGAGGAAAACTAGTAGATTTTCAAGAATACTTATTACATAGAGCATGAGACTGTATTGTTTTATATCTATAAAGTCTCATTTTATATTGCATATGAAATTATCTAGATATTTAAAAAAATATTGAGATATCGCCCAGCCATAGTATCTGGTGTAAAACAATAGAGAAATCTGTTGTACAAGTTTGCTCTCAGTGCTGAACCCTGCCAAAGCGAAAAGCTGAACGTAAAACAACTTCCCTTTTTTGTTTTTATCAAAGGCTGATTTGTTTTTAAGGAATAATTAAGGGGTAAGGAAAGACGCATTAACGCAGCTGTGCTTCTCATTAGAATTCTGTGCTTGCTCAATTCATTAGTCAATACTCTATATGCTTTAAACGTGCACGCCTGTTCAACTGTGGTGGGTCAGAGCAGACCGGGATGACAACCAAATCACTGCAGGCAAAACATAAGACGCATGTGCAGGTAAATTTACAGAAACTGAAAAAGGATACGCAAGCAGTTGTACATGTCCTGAAGGGGCTTTTCATCTGCACAGAGACGTGCCTGGACCAACTCATGGATGAAGTTCACCTGTAAACTGTGAACTAAGGCTCGGCCATCTGTTAATATAAGAAGAGAGGAGTAGCTGGACATTCAGAACGGAATGACAGAAATAGAAAACAACAGAGCAAAAGGAAACAAAAATGTTTTCTTATATTGTAAATATTACTTCTGATATGATTCAAAGCTAATAAAGATCCCCGAGTGTTGACCTTTACCTCCAGTTTCTTTATCCTCAACAAGAATCTCCAACTTCAACAGCCTCCAAGGAATGTCAGGGTCATCCCCCATCACGGTTAATGTGGCCTCAAACTCTCCCTCCACACAAAACTTAACGCGGCCATTAGCTACAGAACAACAAACAAACAAACAAAAGCTTTTTGATTATACAGGTGAAAACAAACAATAGATGAATGTAGCCTTTAGTGAAGTAATCACTGGCCATCTTGCATTTCAAATTTTAAACAAAAATCTTGCACAATCTGTAAGCGCTTAAAGTATGTGTTCAGGACAACCCTCACGTATTACCACATCAAATGTGTAGCTTAATATCTGTAAAATGTAGATTGCTTTCGGAGTTTCATTTTTTTCTTCATTAAACCAGACAGACATGCATACACACAAATACACACACAGGCAGTTACAGGATCACTCATGATGGTGTGATATAATAAATGGCAAATGGACTGTACTTATGTAGAGCCTTTCTGTCTAATCAAGATACTCAAAAGTGCTTAACACCAGGGGTCGTCAACCACCGGGCCGCGGACCGGTACTGGTCCGTGGGTCAGTTGGTACCAGGACGCACAGGAAAAAAAAAAGAAGTTTTATTTTGAAAGATCACCAAATTCTCTCCAGTTCAACTCAGTTTATTTATATAGTGCCAAGTCACAACAGAAGTCATCTCAGGGCACTGAACAGAAACATTCATATAAAAATAATAAGTTAACATTATTTATGAGGAGCAGACAATTAAATTTAACTATCACAGAACTCTCATCTTGAGAAGCATGAATTCGACAGTGGAAAGTAGGGATGCACGATATTATCGGCATGTATAGGCCGATATTACCGTTAAAGTTCAATATCGGACATAGGCAATTCCATTAAAATAACTCGCCGATATAAAAGGCACTGTTTTTGCCTGCAGCCTCAGCATGATGTTACAGCAGCAGCGTAACATGATGACGTCACATGGGTCTACCCGACCTCACGGCGGAGAGGAAAATTCAAAATGTCGGCGGTGTGGAAGTTTTATTCTTCATTGGTGAGGATGTCGGATTCTGAAGATGTATGGACTACATTGAGCCTCGCTACATTATCCCCAGTCTGAGATATTTTTCCGACGTAACGTTACCGGAGTTACAAGCCGTCATTTCCGATGTCATTGAGAAGCTAATAGCCGATAGCACGACTTGTTGGGTGAGTTTTACCACAGACATTTGGACGTCGTGTTAGCCCCGTTAGCATGATTAATCTTACGGCACAATGAATAGACAAAAACTTTGAAATTAAAAAGTCTGTCCTTCATGCACAGGAGTGCAGAGGATCCCACACTGCAGCTAGAAACCTGGAACAAGCCTCCACAAGTGAGACAGCATCGCAGGTGACTAATTCTAATAAATAACATTTAACACTTTTCATTTAATATAAATTAAAGTGCTATGCATATCATATGGCTGTTACTGAATATATGTCACCAGCTCTTACAGCTGTTGCACAAAGCAAATACGCCTAAATAAGAGGGCTATGTTCTGACAAAGGAGCATATATAAAATATTGATATCAGCATCAGTTATCAGCCGAATAAGTTTTAACATATCGGCATAGGGCTGGACGATATGGACAAAACTTTTATCACGATATATCTCTTAATTTCGGTCGATAACGATATAATTCGATATTGATATAAATAATATAAAAGCCTCAGAAAAACTACAAACTATACAAATAAATTAATGTTCACCTTTTATTTGTATTTAGCCTTCAAAAAAATTGAAATCACTGACAAATAAACATAAAATTCTCAACTTTGTCAGTATTAATGGTTTTAACTTTAAACAACTTCAAAATTGACAGCATTGAAATTCGTTGTTAATGAAATAAAATTTTTGGGTGTCGTTATTGATGAGAAGCTGACATGGAAATCTCATGTAAAATACTTAAGAATAAAAATAACAATCAACTGCATTATAGTACAAAGTAAGAGATTTTGAATGACAAAGCTTTGTATATATTGTATAATGTAATGATTGTTCCATATTTAATCTATTGTAATGAAGTTTGGGGAAAAGCATGCAAAACAATTACAAATCCTATTTTTATTTTTACAAAAAAGAGCTATAAGAATTATTAGTAGTATGAAGTGCCATGGTCACCCAACAAATATATTATTTCATCAATTGAAATTATTAAAATGTTATGATTTGATTGAATATAGTATTTTACAAGTCATGTATAAAGCTCATAAAAATATTAGCCCCAAATATTCAATTAAAATTTGTAAAAATAACCGGGAATGGAAATGTTTGTAAAACCTCTATTTAGAACTAGTCTGAAGGAGCTGTGTTGTAATTCAGGGAATAGGATTATGGAATTGACTTGATATCACCATAAATTTTTTTTAAAACAATTTATATGTTTGAAAAGATGATAATTAAAAGTTGCTGGGAAGGTATAGTACCAGGTGAAGAATGCCTGAAGTTTTTTTGTTTTAGTTTGGAGATTGTTCAAGTCAAGGTTGTTGTTTGTTTGTAGTTATTTTGCATATTTTAAATTAGAAGCAGATAAGAATTTTATTCTTCTTTCTGCAACCTTTTCATTCAATGTTTTTTTTTCTTTCTGATGAATTTATTTTAAATGAATGAATAAATTTTAAAAACAAATAAAAAAAACATGCTGCGCTGGGGGTGTTTCAGGGACAAATTGGCTCAAACTTTTATTGTGCTTCATCTTGTGACTCAGCATATTCTGTCAAGTGGAAGAAGTTAGTTCTATTTCGTATAGGCTTCGCCCTTTAAGGCTGTCGCTGATGGGTTAATCCCGTTATGCGAAGCATCACACTGAAAAAATTTAGTCCACGCCCACCTGCTGTGTGGGCCCCACCCGATCCATATAAGTTACGTTAAGAGCGGGTAATCGGCTCCCATTTTTCTTCAGCAAGCTAACAACACTGACCTTCAACAAGATGTCCAGCTCCAACACCATCTGCTTGTGTCCATCCTGCAAGACTGGTTACTTGGGCTGCGTGCCAGGGACCTCTTGACCGTAGCGGACCCATCCTCTGCCAAGGTAAAGCGTCGTCACGAGCTTCACGCGAAGTGTACCGCGGGCGAACTGCGCTTGAAAGGAGCGTGTTGTTCTGGTCTACAGACATACATCTTCCTCCACATCTCCCTTTAAACTCCTCCATATTTCCCATCTTTAAAACTCTTCTATCTTGCCAGTAATTAATCTAGAAGCCTTCAGAAATGTCTGTTGTTTTTATTAAGTAAAACGTGCCAAGTTTTATTAATCAGAACCAGATCAGTCTAATCAAGTGTACAATGTTTTGATGTTAAATTTTGATTCTGTTAATAAATGACCACATTTATTTTGATGGGTCAAAGAAAATTAACGTCTCATGTCACTGATTAAACCATCCACGCACAGTACCTCTGTCACATGGCTGTAATTAGCTCAAAAAAGAGAGAACTCGTTATTTTAAATATGACTGTAGTGAAGATCTGAAGCTAACCTAGCCCATAGAACACTACAAAAGGTTACACGTTACAGTTTGCAACCCGACCCCCTCCGTTCGGAGGAGTTTTAGAGACGGTCCTGTCATCACCAGACCAAATCTCATCCCTAAATGCATAAGTCCAAGAGCTTCTGATAAAAGGAGTAATCTCCAGGGTTCCCAACGGAGAGGAAAAAGGGTTTTACTCACGTTACTTCCTGGTTCCCAAACGGACCAGAGGGATGAGACCGATTTTGGATCTGTCAGCTTTCAAAAAGGCGATCATGGACAGACCGTTTCACATGTTGACAACCAGACAGCTGTTGGACAACATCCAGAGAAACTACTGGTTTGTTTCCATCGATCTGAAAGACGCCTACTTCCACATACCGATCATCCCAAAACACAGAAAATTTCTGCGCTTCTCCTTTCAAGGGATGAAGTATCAGTAGAACAGGCTACCGTTCGGGTATTCCCTCGCGCCTCATACGTTCTCAAAGTGTGTGGAGACGGCCCTGCAACCGTTAAACAGAGCAGGGATAAGAGTTTTGTTTTACCTGGACGACCTGCTGCTGCTGTCACGCTCCAGACAGGAAGCAGTGATGCAGGCTCAGGTGTTGACATCACACCTGTTAAATCTGGGCTTCAACATAAATTGGAAGAAAAGCTCGATTTTCCTGGCCCAGACAATTGTTTATCTGGGAGTGGAGTTAAATTCAACCACCATGAGGGCTCGTTTATCACAAACGAGAATCGACACTCTAAAAGACCAGCTCCGTCTCTTAAGACCTGGCAGAGTGGTAACAGCCGTATCCGTCATGAAGCTGTTAGGAACGATGTCATCAGCTCACACAGTGGTCCCACTGGGTTTATTACACATGAGACGCCTCCAGAGGTGGTTTGCTCGTCTGCGTGTGGACCCAGTAAAACAAAAGAGACGGATGATCACTGTTCCTCCCTCCGTGAGGACAGACCTCCGACACTGGGGAAACACCCTGGTTCTGTCAGAGGGAGTCCCCGTCAGCAGACCCACGTCACACGTGCCAGTCTTCACAGACGAGTCGCTGTCAGGCTGGGGGGGGACATGCCTATCTCAAGCAGTAGGGGCACTGTGGCCGCATCACACATCTGCCCACATAAATGTTTTGGAGTGTCGCACGGTGCTGAACGTGATTCAACACTTTGCTCTCGTGCTACAGAATCAACACGTTTTGATTCACACAGACAACAAGGTTACTGCTGCGTACATAAACCGGCAGGGGTGTGTGCGCTCAGCCCAGATGTTACACATTGCGCAAAAGATACTGTGTTGGGCTCACCGTTTGCCCACAGCCCATGGCCCAAAACGCTTCTGTACGCGTTTCCTCCACCTCCTCTGATTTTACGGTTCCTGAACAGAGTTCAGGAGGAGGGATTGACAGCTCTCCTGGTAGCCCCCGAGCGCTTGAACGCACCATGGTTCCCAGTCCTACAACGCCTACTGTCGGGGCACCCGTGGAAACTGCCGTGGAGGGAGGATGCTCTCCTCCAGGCAGGAGGAGCGATCAGGAGTTACCCAGAAATAGGCCAGCACCAGTGGGTCTGGCCGCTGAGCGGTTCCGCTTAGAGAGGATGGGTCTCCCACAGGATGTAGTGCGCACAATCCAGGATTCACGTGCTGCATCTACCACAGTGCTGTACACATCAAAGTGGACAGCTTTTCAGCGCTGGTGTACAGAGAAAGGTGTAGAGGCCACCTCATGTCCATTAGGCGGCGTGCTGTCTTTTCTACAACAGCTGATGGACAGGAAGTTGGCATTCAGCACGATTAAAAGGTACGCTGCAGCCATCTCTTCCCGCCACGAAGGGTTCGGAGACAGAACAGGTTTTAATCATCTGCTGATGAAGCGTTTTCTAAAAGGTGTACAGAGATGCAGGCCTGTTTCACGCCCACTTGCTCCATAATGGGATTTAACGATGGTCCTGCGAGCCCTGATCAAAGCTCCATTTGAGCCCTTGGATCAGGTTCCACTTAAATTCTTGACTCTTAAAACAGCCCTGCTGCTGGCTTTAACATCCGCTAAGAGAGTGAGTGATTTTTCTGCCCTCTCTGTCGCTCCGTCATGTCTCAGAATTCAGGCTGACGGTAGCTCAGCTGATTTAAGACCAAACCCAGCCTTTATGCCTAAAAATATCACGAGCTCCTTTAAATCAAGAGCGATATCGTTGGAGGGGTTTTTCCCTCCCCCCCACAGATCAGAAGAAGAAGCATCTTTCCATCTTCTCTGTCCGGTGCGGGCGTTGACGTGTTACAAAGGGCGCACGGCTGTAATGCGCCAAACTCAACATTTGTTTGTGCATTATAGAGATGCATCTGCAGGTCGCCCGTTATCCACCCAGCGCTTGTCACACTGGCTGTGTGAGGCCATTTCTGAAGCCTACAGAGCATCAGATTTAGAGCCTCCTGTCAACCTCAGAGCACACTCGACCAGGGGTATCGCATCTTCGACTGCCTTGCATAATGGTATGTCAATGCAGGATATTTGCACTGCGGCCGCGTGGTCAACACCCTGCTCATTTATTCGCTTTTATCTGCGTGATGTGACAGTTTGTTCTGTCCTTAATGCTCTAACAGAATGAATATTATTGTTTTCATGGAACTGTTTAAGCTCACATCTGTCTGCATTCTTCACAGTGTGAGATGTTGTTATCAGTCACAAGTTGTGTCTGTTATTTTGGTTCTATTGTCACTAATCTGTTCATGACTATTGTTACCAATCAGTTCATTTGATTAATAATCAGTTCATTTGTTATTATTAATCTGTTTATACTGTTCAGCCATGAATCAGTTGGTTCATGCCCCCCCTCCCCCCTTTTCAACATCTTCCCTCCCCGTTGAAATTTTCCAGGGCGTTCATGTTTTTCAGAATGCATAGATACAAAACATGCGTCTGTGCATGGCACACATAACTACGCAATGCGTAATTATGCACATGGGGAGCTGAGCGACAAGACGTTTTTGTGGGCAAGCTTCTGTCTCATACAGTGTTCGAATGGACCCAGTGAGGCGAGGACTACATCCGCTTCGCCCTTAACCCATCAGCGACAGCCTTAAAGGGCGAAGCCTATACGAAATAGAACGTTGGTTACAAACTGTAACCCCAGATTCTATGAGTATAGGCGTAGCCCTTTAAGCGTCGTGCCTCACTGGCTCTTGAATGGCTGAAGAAAAAATAAAGCTATTTGGGAGCCGATTACCCGCTCTTAACATAACTTATACGGATCGGGTGGGGCCCACACAGCAGGTGGGCGTGGACTAAATTTTTTCAGTGTGATGCTTCACATAACGGGATAAACCCATCAGCGACAGCCTTAAAGGGCTACGCCTATACTCATAGAATCTGGGGTTACAGTACGTAACCAACGATATTCCGACTGCTAGTTAAAACGACTCCGTCACATTTTGCAGCACATTGACTGAAACCTGCAGTTTATCGGATCTTAGAAAGCCGAACCACTTCCAAACCAGCAAATTAGTCTTTTCTCTCTTATCGGTGATGTCATCTGCTTTCTCTTTGCTTGTGAAAGCTTGTTCAGTCACATTCTGACGATCATGGGCACTCATTTTGAAGCAAAAACTTAATGCGCGTTGGAGATTAGCCTAGCTTAGCCTGCTCCCACTAACGCCTTCTGGACTTGAGCACTACGTAACATTAAGTCACCACGCACTTACGTAGTTGTGTCGCACCTTTTTCTGTCCGGGTTGAAACTGAAGTGGCCGCTTCAACCCGAACAGAAAAAGAAATGCGTCCGTGAAACGCTGTAATCCTATCGAAATATCGAAAATGCGCTTAAAACTCATATCATCGTTATTGAATAAAAGTATATCGCGAAATATATCGATATCGAATTATTGTCCAGCTCTATATCGGCATATCGGATATTGGCCAAAAATCCAATATTGTACATCCCTAGTGGAAAGGAAAAGCTCCCTCACGAGGAAGAAACCTTAGAACAAGGCTCAGGACAAGCGGCTTTCTGCTTCGACGGGCCGAGTTTGGTAGGAACAGATACACCATGGCAGGTCAAGAATTGCATGTTAAGATAGAAATAGTATCAAAGGAAAACTATTCAATTTTAGCAAATCATTTAAGAAAATGAGATCAATTTTTCCTCTAGTAGTCTCAACGTAAGACAGCATAACAAGCCAGCCCTAACTATAGGATTTATCAAAAAGGAAAGTCTTAAGCCCAGTCTTAAAACTGGACAATGTGTCAGCCTCACAGACAGAAACTGGAAGTTGGTTCCACAAGAGAGGAGCCTGATAACAAAGATCTTCCTCCCATTCTGCTTTTGGAAACTCTAGGAACCGCAAGTAGGCCTGCAGTCTGAGAGTGAAGTGCTCTGTTAGGAAACTATGGAACAATAAGATCTGTAATATAAGATGGAGCTAGGATGTTGAGAGCTTTGTAGGTTAGAAGTAAGATTTTGAATTCAATTCTGGATTTGACAGGGAGCCAGTGGAGAAGCTAAAACTGGAGAGATATGGTCTCTCCTACTAAATCCCGTTAAGACTCTGGCAGCAGCATTTTGGATCAACTGAAGACATTTTAAAGAAGAATTTGGACACCCAGATAATAAACCATTGTAATAGTCCAGTGTAGACGTGACAAATGCATGAACCAGTTTTTCTGCATCATTTTTAGATGTTTCTAATTTTAGCTATATTACGCAGGTGGAAGAAAACAGTTCTAGTAACGTCTTTACCACATCTGTCAATGACTCAATCAATGCAGGTCAACATACACAAGTGGTAAGTTTCAGTTTCTATTCGGCGCATGTGCAGATTGGTACTACATTGCCCGCACGAGTGATGAACGGAGGAATTCAGCTGAGTGGTCTCTGGAGCAGACAAAAGGAGGCGAGTGCCTATATCTACGCATTTGAAGGATTACACTGCATATTTTTCAACCCACCTGACAAAGAGTGACTGTAAAACTATAAATAAAACTATAATTTTAAATAAAGCTTCCTAATATCACATCAAAGCTGCCACTTCGCATTTCCGCTTCTGCTCTTAAAAGAATTTCTGCCCCTAAAAGTTCAAAGTCATGGGCAATTTTATTAAAAAAACACAAAAATATAAGTTTTGCACTACGCATAAGTTCTTGCGCTTTTGTGAACAATCATGCGTGAATCACTGCGGAGCAGGGAGGAGGATGACGAGGCGCAGCTGACCCCCCCAGCTAGTAGACGAGAAATGGTCCTGCACTTAATACACTTCTAAATCACACATAAAGCGTTTAAAAGTAAATTATAAATATGAACTGACTTCAGTGGCGATTTTAGCCTCTTTTTGGGGGTGTTCAAGTACCCCAAAATTTTAACTCAGCATGCCAGAAAAATAAAGAAACCAGAATTAAGATTGTGTAAGGAAACTCAGTTCTCAAACCTTAGATTCACAAAATATTGAATAAATATGGAATAAATGTCTTAAAACGGGCTAGTAAAATCTTTTTTTTTTTTTGCAGTAGTCAGATTCTTGACCCACCTGTCAATCAATCAAGTAGGCACGTCAGCAGCTGACCAATCAGCAACCTCAGTTTGTTATGAAGTGAACGCCCCTTCCTTGCAGAGCTGCAGCGGTGTTACATTACGAACACTTTGCAGTAATTTCAATAATGAGTTTACATCTTTTGTTTCATGTTAATATACTGTAATAAACCTTTGTAACATACAAATGAAAATATTGTCTGACATTAAACCGGTCCATGAAGCAAAAAAGGTTGGGGACCACTGCTTTACAACACACTGTGCTCTCATTTATCCATTCATACAGCACTCTACTAGATCTCTACAAAGACTAATCAGTGCTTTATCACATTCATACACCGATGGGACACACATCTGAGGCAATGAGGGGTTCAGTGTCTTGTCCAGGGACACTTCAGCATGTGACTACTGGTGCAAACAAACCTCCAACTCTCCCATCAGAGTATGAATGCTCTAACCACTCAGCCACAGCCGCCCAATAAGTTACATGAAAAAAGACAATTGAAATGCAAGACGTTAACAAAAAAAATTGCTTACCAACGGTCAGATTTGCCAACTGGGGGGGTAAATCTGTGGTGACCAGACGGTGTCGTAGAATCAGATTGAGCTGATTTAAAGTGGTCTGCTTCTCAACTTTTGTGATGGGATCTGGAGGAATGATCTTATCCTACACAAAGACAAAAACAATTATTCTGATAAAGAAAAAAGAAAGATCCTGTTATGTTTTCAATGCAAGATACTTATTTGCTGGCTTACGAGAAGACTTACACGTATGCATGTAGGCAAGCGTGGGTATGAACCTGTGGTCAGCACGTCGATGGCAAAGGGGACAGCAAAGCTGGGCAGACGAGCATGTACCAGGGCATCTCTGGCTAGTATTGCCAATCTGTCGGCTGTATCCACAAACAAGATAGTCTGCTGATCTAAGAAGCTGGAGATCATCTGTTACCACAAAGGTGGGAAAAGTAGGGTCAAGAAAATTTTTTTTTGCTCTAAAGCCACAACATTACATACAATTTAATGTGACCCCAACAACACACAGTGGTGTCATTAAATTAAACTACAATTACAATTACATACCGCACACTTCTCTACTTTGCCCGCATTGCTTGCCCACTTTACCAGGGCCAGAAGGCGTACAAAAAGCTGCCTGGTTCGACTTGCAAATTGAACAATCTCGATTTTCCTGGGGGGAAAAAAGCAACCAACAGTAAAATGTTAATGATTTAAAATTGAAAGAATGGTCAAATAAGTCAGCTGTTAAAGAAAACGTAATGACTTTAACAGACACATACCTCTCCATATCTGTTTTTCTGGGAAGCCTGAAACAACAAAGGAAAATCAGCAAAGCATCAGCACGTTTTCAATCAAGTGTAGTGGACTAGGCGTCAAGTTCACTACACAAGTTATAAAGACCCCTGCTTTGAAAGCACTGGTCCTAATGTTATATTTAGTAGAACTGGATTAACCAGGAAATAAGGCTAATTGTGACATTTAATAGTTTACACAAATTTTATCTTGGTAACAACTCTGCATCTGCTAAGCTTCATATCAATATCCTTCTGATCAACTGTTAACATGATGTGAAAGTCATACCTAGGTTTGGTGTTAAAAATCCAAACTAAAGCTTCTAGTTATTCCAGTTTATTTCAGGTACTTTGGATAAACATTGGATAAGTTTAATAATAGGGGTGTAACGATACATCGATTTACACTGATATATCAATTTAATGATTCAATTATATCGTGGCAAAACTAAAACATCGATCATATCGTCATCTTTAAAATACGCTTATATTTTGAAATTCCCAAGGCACGTCTGTGTAACCATTTCTGTGCGCGGCTGCGCTCTGCGTTCGCCTCAGCAACTTGACCAGACGAGGCAGAAAACACAGATAATGAAATTCACTCTCCTGCTGGATTTAAATCAACACTGTGGAAATATTTTGGATTCTGACAGAAGGACGGCTCAACAGACAAAACTCATGGCGTATGAAACAGGTGTCAGTGTGAGTTAAAATACTCAGGAAACAACAAATTTGGCCGTTCACCTGAAGAAGAAACACGGCATTGATAGCCATGTTATGTAAGCTCAATATCTATTTTTGTTTCTTTATAACTGAATAATAATAATAATATAAATAATAATAATAAACTGGTAATCAGGGCACTTTTAAGTTGACTAGTTTAAAAAATGCACTTAAACATGAGAAATGTAAGACTATATACGGAACAGGTCATTTATTTTTATTTTTTCATTAATTAAGAAAAACAGTTTTTTTATTTAAATGCCTTGTGCTTGTAATAACAGAAATAAAATTGTTAAATCATATTTGAATTGTTTTTGTAAATGTATTTATGTAAATGAGATGGGCATTCGATATTGTAATGTATTGATCGCAGACTTGTGAATCGAACAGAATCGAAATCGTACCATGACAGACTTTGTGATATCGAGAAAAATCATATTGTCATACAAACCAATCAATATAATATTGTATCGTGGTAAAGCTGGTGATTTACACCCCTATTTAATAAATGGTGTCAAACTATTTGTTTATACATATGTTGTATTCTATTTATTACATGATTTTTTTCTCCAAATATTCAGAAAATTGCAGTTACTATTATAATTAGTATTATAATTATTATCAAATCCAAACTTGTTGGATTTTTCTACCTGGATAATTGAGCATGAATCAGGATATTTTATCCACTTTGGCCATGACTGCCTCAAAACGAGTCGACGGGGAGAGGGCGGACACCAGAAACCATCTTAGCACCATCAAACTGCCCACTAAGTTGATATTTATAAGACTTAGTTTGTTGTTGCTCCTGATGAAGTCTTTTGGATGAAAGACGAAACGTTTCAACAAAAAGAAGCCGTCCAGAAGACCTGACTTAACTTTGTTGACTTACTAATTGGCATTTATGATGTATGTGAATGTTTCTGTTCAGTACCCTGTGACATGGAACTATAAATAAACTGAACTGACTATAGTTACTGCACACCCAGATAAACTACAATAACTAAACCAGTGATTAAAATAAATAAAATTCAAGCAACACAGAAAAGCTGAATAAATGAACTTCTGTTTTGACTGCAGGTACCTCAACTCAATATATTGAATAAGCATTATAGTTTACTTATTAAAATGGATTTTTTCATAACTATTATGCTCTTCCCACCACTTACTGAACGTGCTGAAAGAAAAGCCGCCAAAAAAAAAAGGCAAAAAAAAAGGTTTCCTATTTTGATGGACCTCGTTCATTACACTCTAAAACTTTAAAGGAAACTTGACTGAGTCATGAATATTTCAGTGTCTTGCAGCAGAGCATCCTCTGCTTTACAAACGTTAGCCTGTTAGCATCGGGCCTACACTCATGCTAACTGGTACTTACAGTTCCGCAAGCAGGGTAATTTCGTGGTAAGTCCTCTGGAGAAGAAATTCAATAAGCAGACTCAGTCGAACACCTTGTGTGGCTGGGGCTCCGGGTGGTGGTGGCTGTGGACCCGAAACAACCGGACCCCCGAGGGGGACAAGCTGCACATCCGATCCAATCTGCACTGGAGCCATTTTAGCTGGTGAGCTACACACTTAGCAATGAAACAGAAAACTGACGGGTTGTAAAAATCAATTCCTCATTTAAAAATATATTCCTCGTAATATTACATTTATTCCACGAGAATGGTTCTTGGCAAGAATTTGTGGGTACAAAACGAGTAGAAAATGAGTACAAGTTGGTCACTAAACCGGAGAAGAATCAGCGGGACTCCGCCGCCATCTTTGCTGCCGGGGAAGAAGATTGTTTATCATCGTGGAGGTAAAAAGGAAAACCAGGACCCGACTTTTGAGGAACGAGAGTCATCATTCTCCACCAAGTATGTGGTTTTTCACTAAACCGGGTGGTTGTGGGGTCAAAAATGTTGACTGTCAGGTTTACAACCCAGGCTCGTGTGCAAAAAGCTTTGCTGCGTCACGAATGGTATGTCTGTAAGTTAAACAGGAGCATTACGACAGAGAGTGACTTTGTCATATGTTTAATGTCTATGGGTTTACATATAAAACATTAAATAGGTATGTATGCAAATTGTATAAATAACATAAAGCTGTGCTACATGTTGCAATTTTTTTTTGTTGTTGAGATTTTTACTTGAAATTAAGTTAGGGGCATTATTAAATGAGCCTACTGGGTACAGACTTTAAGTGAACCAAGTGACCTGTATAACTTTACATGACATCTCTATCACAATGAAAAAAGACAGGTAGGTTGGAAAAAAATACAGAACAGTAAAAAAGAGACTAATAATTGAAAACATAAAGAAAAAATATGGCAAATAAATTCAAAATATGGCAAAAAATGTAATAACCATGAATATTTTCACAACTGAAAACTTCAAAAATCTGGAAGCTCAAATTACACATATAATAACCTTGGTTATTCAAATCAGAAAGTGGTAGATTTACTGCAAGACAGCACTTTAAAATAAATTAAAAAACCTAAATGATTCGTAATCGAATAGCCCTTAAAAGTAAACATAGGAACATCATACTACCACAACACCACCTACCTGCCTTGGTAACACAGTAAAGGACAAATTGTAAGATCAGTAGCACACATGTGGACTAGACACAGACTCAAATGACTCCCTAAGCAACTCTGCAATGGTAACATCTGGTTCATTGCTCCTCGACCCAGATGAGAGTCACACTGGTCCTCTTTAATCGGAGGCTAGACAATCGGTCACAGTGCCGGAACAGGATCCAGGAACTCATTACATAAACACAAATTTTAAACACAACAGCCACTTACGAGCTGCCCCTTCAAGTAACATGTCCGCATGTAGTCTTAAAAAAATCTCTGCCCTTAAAAGAGTGGTGGGGGTGCTCACAGGCAGTCGCAGGCAGGCGCCTGGAGGTTTCACATGCGGTGTCGAACAATAACAAGCAGGGACAGTGTCGGGCTCAGAACCGTCAAATAGAGTGGGGGGTGTAGAATGCTTTACAGAAGCGGAGTGTTTACAACAAATGTAGGTAAACATAGATTTTAACAACCCGTTAAAATACACCAAAATGCAAGACCGAAATCGCATCTACTTTATTTGAAAATTTCTGAGGGAGGACCGCCCCAACCCCGCCCCCCATCCACTGGCCCGCCTGCCATTTGCGTTCTGGCATTGATCCGTTTACAAATTAAGCCCTGGTCACAGCCTTCTTTCCAACACATATAGAATAAACTTTCAGTAAACTTTCTGATCTCTCAAAGAAAAGATGGAACTGAGTCAAAATGTTCAGCTCTCAGTTCACTCGTTCATCCATGTTCCAACAGTCACCCACTGTTGATTGATAATAACTGAAGGGATGCTAGAGTTTTTAGACTATGAACCTTTTGGGATAATAGGAGCTGGAGAATGTTGCTGAGGGGAAAGATGTCTGGCTTCCCACCTAGACTTATTGATGGATGGGTTTTATTTTTTGTACTCTATTAATCCCCAATGGGGAAATTAATTATGTGCATTTTTCCCATTGCACATGTGAGCACACACATGTGAAGTAGAGAGCTGCCATCTAGGGTGCCTGCGGGGCATCTGGGGGGTTAAAAGCCTTGCTCAAGGGCCCAGAGTGGGGCAAATGAGGGTGGAAGCAGATGTGGACCTTTCACCTTTTCCACCAACATTTTATTGTTGTCGGTCCAAGGAGTTGAATGCTGGAGTTGACCAGTGACCCTCCGATCACAGGCCCACCCTCTCTAGCCTCTGTGCCACCACTCCCCCAGATGGATGGATGGGCCACTGATTAATGAGTAAACTCATTAATCATTTTAAATGTAAATTTCCTCTTAATAAGACAATTATGACACTTATAGTTAACAAAACGTCAGATTATGAGGTTTTTTTATGTTCTTTAAAATTTTTATATGATCATCCCGTGCGGTAGGCGGCATTATAACAAAGTACTTCAAGCTGCTTTTCAGTTTTTTTTTAACCTAGTTTTAGGGAAAATCGGGAATGGCGTATGTGCTGGAACCGGAGTCACTTTATCGGAATTGAGAAGTGTTTTATGCTCGTTCCATTCAGCGGATGCTGTACTAGCAGAGCTGGACCGGACTGTGTGATTTAAACCAGCTCATAGACACCGTTGGGTGTTGGAGTTCACGCACTGGACTGTCCTGTTTTACCGAGGAAACATTTGCGTCCGGTTGCGCTTCCGCCATGTTGAGCTGATTCAAGTTGTGAGTGACTGCTGGGACCGAGGTGACAACAAGCCTCAGATACCGGATAGATAGAGTTAGGGAGCTGTAGCTGCGCCGGTGACGCAGGAGAAGCACTCAGAAGCAGAGGAGAAAACGTAAGGAGCAGGTCTTTTTAGTAACAGGATTGTGTCCTGCGAAACTAACACTAAGAGAGGCGCCGTTTATGTAATATATATATACACACAACGACACCACGGTCGAACGCTTGGACGTAGTTCGTGCATAGAGGGGAAGTCCTATCAAATTCCTGGTGAGTTGTTAGCCGAGCTAGTGAAGAAGATAACATTTCTGTATTAAGTGTTACTTGTATTTCTCACTCGTTGTCATTGTTTTCTTTGTTAGCTACAATGTCACCATTATTAAATTTTAATTTACGGTCAGAATAGTATAGGTTTTCTGATTAGCTTGTCCTGCTAGCATCACTGAGGCTAACGCTAGCTACCTGCAAAAGGGCCTGTCTACACACTGAAGTGGAACATTTCCTTTAACGTCCCATGTTTACAAGTCAGACATGTACGTACCATTAAATGCCAGTTTAAATATGTTTTTTGTAACCACATATAGGAAACAATTGTGCTGTTAAGATTTTGAACCAGTTGGGTCTCTAAGATTTTTAATATTTTTGTTTAGTTTATTTAGCCCAGTTGCAACTCGAGGTTTCAGAAAACCTAGTTGAATTCCAGGAAATAGACGACTCTCTTGTCACAATTAGTAACTTTATTTGGAACGGTGAAATGATTTGGCAGCTAGTTTAATGTTTATATGTTTTGTGTAGTTGAACACTATTGGATTGTCGAGCTATGTCTTAGAGTGGCTTTTAAAATTGCATTGTTTTACATTTCCTCATAAGCTAACCGCTTGTTAGCATTCACAGTTTAGCACGACCGCTGCTCATAAATGGCCGTCATGAAACTTAGTCAGCAAGAACGTTGTCCAGAGTGATGTTTGATCGATAATTGTTTCATCTGTAAAGCAGCTTCAGTGTAGATTTGTGGTCGTCAGTTTAGCATTAAATGTTTGCGGGGAAAATATAACGACAGGCCCAAAAGATGCATTGAGGCCTGCGCAGTGGGCTTTGATAAGGCCTACAAATACCGCCTCTGCTCCGCTGTCTGGGCGGATCGAACCGAACCAGGCAGCCTCGCGTTAACCACCAGCTGTTGTACTACCGCCGCCTACTTGTAAATGTATCTCGACCGTGTACAGTTTTGTAGAAACTTCAAGACGAATAATTTATTGTTATGCAACCGATTTAACCGTCAACAAGATGTCTGTAAATAACCAGGAGGCTAATATTTCAGAGCCGAGTGTTGCACCTCATTCTGTGACCCAAATCCTGTACGAATTTCAAGCGTTGGGTTGCATAAATTGTTTATTAAACCGTGTATCACAGTTTTTGTGATACTACAATGGGTAGGGGAAAACAGTAATATATTATAGTGTGAACCCTGATATCCACCTTTGATGAAATCTACCATATATACTATTCATTACGTTTCTACTGAATGAATGAGACTTGGCTGAGAACACGGTACAGATGTTTTCTCTGGTTTTCAGCATCCATGTTGACGCTATTTTCATTTGCAAACATGCTTTACAGTAGAGTATATTGCCTAGCTTTGCCTTCTAACAACAGTATTGTAGCACCATTTTTCAAAAAGGGAAATCATTTCAACATTTAAACACGGCCACCCTGCTAGTTGACTTGGAGCAGGCATGGCAGACTTGGTTTCTATTTGATTGCATGCCTTCTTTAAAAGAGGTAAAGAAATTTGATTTCCTTTTGGTAAATAAATAGACCCCGGCTTCATGTAGGCTTTATAGGAATAAAAATTTTTCCTATGCTGACCTACACTGCCAACAAACCTTTCAAGAGATTCTAAAAAAGTTAAGTCTGGTCCTCTGGACATTCAAAAAACAAAAAAAAAATGTAGAAACGTTTCATCTGACGAAGTCTACGTTTCTACATTTTTTTTGGTTTTTTTTGTTTTGGTTTTTGAATGTCCAGAGGACCAGACAACTTTTTTTAGATTTTTCTACCTGGATTATTGAGCATGCATCAGGATACTTTCAAGAGATTGTTCATTCTTTTGGTAAAAGAAAAACAGACACAATCTTATATTCTACTTATACATGTTCAAAATGAAACTTATTCGGTGTAATAAATTTAGAGTAATCAATACTATGATTGATAAATACAGTAATTTACATTCCTTTGTTATATTTACAGTAACTAATCACTAATCCTCAGAACTGGCTAGTTGTCAGCATAATTTCTACTTTTTAGTTTATTGTCACACATATTGGTAATTTAAAAAGTTTTTATTCCATATAATTTTGATATTACAAGGACATGCATTTCTTTAAAACTATTTGTATTCCACTAACATTCTTCGTTAGTTACAGCTATTAAAAATAAATGCAACAAGTATAAGAGTGTTGGCAGTGGAAAAACATCAGTTAACAAAATCCAATGGAACTCTGTTTTTGTGTGTGTGATTATTCTTCAGTCCAAGAGGTCCTTTTTTGTTATAGTATGTCACTTTTATGACACATTATAAAGCATGACTGTTTATGTGCCATGAATGTAAAAAAAAAAATTATTTTCAGCTGCTCCCTTCTTGAAGGGTCACCAAAGTATAATTATTTGTGCAAGTAACCAGTGGTTTAAATATTGTAACTGTAAGTTATCCAGCAAGGTACACACAGCTGCTTTAAGAGCTCATACTAAAATCAAGGGCATTTTTAAACCCAAAAACACATCAGTTAGCCAAATTCATACAGGAAAACTCACATTAATATAATACAAGATGGGTGTATTACAGATTTTGGTTTTAGATTTTAAAACAGTCATTAGTTCATCAAGCCGAGCAGCAACAATTATGGTTCTTAAGGATGTACCGGTGTGTATATATTTCAAGGTTTGTCTTATCTGTTTTTAGTTTTATTACAATGAGCATTTGGTCTTGCCAGTCTAATGTGCTTATTTTCAGGCATTTACATAAGTGTGATATTGTCCTTAAACTTTATTATTCTTGATAATTATGTTGTTAACAAATTATGTTTAAAAGGCAGGCTATGTCATTTTAATGCTAAGTGTAGTTTGTTACATAGTTAATAAAAGGGGGCTGCAGTAGCTCTGTGTTCAGTTCTATGATATTGAAATTGTGAGGCTGCAGGTTTGAATCCAGGTTGCATCAGAAACATGTATAACAATGGCTGTGTCCTTCATGTGAATATTGCTTAACCCTTGAAGAAGTAAGCAGCCGAAAGAAAAACAACATATTAATTTATTTCACGACACACTGATATACATGTATTGTTAAACAGAATCCAGATGGATTAAGGAGTATGTTGTTCTCATTAGACGACTGTACAGAAAATTAGTGCAAAATATTACCAACCAAGCTAATTATGATAAGTATCCTTGGCAGTTAACAAATCATTACTTTAGCTTCACATTGACCTGATGTATTGAGCACAGTTATGGATGTGCTCCAGTTCTTTGTAGCAAGTCAGTTATGATGACTGGACAGTTCCTCTCCCCACTAGACTGTCTTATCTACTCCTTAGGTTTATCCATATTAGACTTTCCTACATGTATACCTGCATCATTCCTGCATAAAAACCTTATCCCATCTGTGAAACGTGGTGGTAGTATTATGGTTTGCACCAGTTATGCTGCATCTGGGCCAGGACAGCTTGCCATCATTGATGGAACAATGAATTCTGAATTCAGAAAATTTTGAAGGAAAATATCAAGACATCTGTCCATGAACTGAATCTGAAGAGAAGATGGGTCATGCAGCAAGACAATGACCCTAAGCACACAAGTGGTTCTACCAAAGAATGGTTCAAAAATAATAAATTTCATGTTTTGGAATGGCCAAGTCAAAGTCCTGACCTTAATCCAATCCAAAGGTTGTGGAAGGACCTGAAGCAGCAGTTATTGTGAGGATACCACCAACATTCAGAGTTGAAGCTAGAGGAATGGACTAAAATTCCTCCTGTGCAGGACTGATCAACGTTTACCAGAAACATTTACAGGTCCTTCTAAAAAAATTAGCATATTGTGATAAAGGTCATTATTTTCCATAATGTAATGATAAAAATGAAACTTTCATATATTTCAGATTCATTGCACACCAACTGAAACATTTCAGGCCTTTTAATTGTTTTAATACTGATGATTATGGCAAACAGCTCATGAAAACCCAAAATGCCTGTCCCAAAAAATTAGCATATCATGAAAAGGTTCTCTAAACAAGCTATTAACCTAACCATCTGAATCAACAACGTAACTCTAAACACCTGCAAAAGATTCCTGAGGCTTTTAAAAACTCCCAGCCTTGTTCATTACTCAAAACCGCAATCATTGGTAAGACTGCCGACCTGACTGCTGTCCAGAAGGCCATCATTGACACCCTCAAGCAAGAGGGTAAGACACAGAAAGAAATTGCTGAACGAATAGGCTGTTCCCAGAGTGCTGTATCAAGGCACCTCAGTGGGAAGTCTGTGGGAAGGGAATAGTGTGGCAGAAAACACTGCACAACGAGAAGAGGTGACCGGACCCTGAGGAGGATTGTGGAGAAGGGCCGATTCCAGACCTTGGGGGACCTGCGGAAGCAGTGGACTGAGTCTGGGGTAGAAACATCCAGAGCCACCGTGCACAGGCGTGTGCAGGAAATGGGCTACAGGTGCCGCATTCCCCAGGTCAAGCCACTTTTGAACCAGAAACAGCGGCAGAAGCGCCTGACTTGGGCTACAGAGAAGCGGCACTGGACTGTTGCTCAGTGGTCCAGAGTACTTTTTGCAGATGAAAGCAAATTTTGCATGTCATTCGGAAATCAAGGTGCCAGAGTCTGGAGGAAGACTGGGGAGAAGGAAATGCCAAAATGCCAGAAGTCCAGTGTGACGCACCCACAGTCAGTGATGGTCTGGGGTGCCATGTCAGCTGCTGCTGTTGGTCTGTGTTTTATCAAGGGCAGGGTCAATGCAGATAGCCATCAGGAGATTTTGGAGCACTTCATGCTTCCATCTGCTGAAAAGCTTTATGGAGATGAAGATTTCATTTTTCAGCACGACCTGGCACCTGCTCACAGTGCCAAAACCACTGGTAAATGGTTTACTGACCATGGTATTACTGTGCTCAATTGGCTTGCCAACTCTCCTGACCTGAACCCCATAGAGAACCTGTGGGATATTGTGAAGAGAAAGTTGAGAGACGCAAGACCCAACACTCTGGATGAGCTTAAGGCCGCTATCGAAGCATCCTGGGCCTCCATAACACCTCAGCAGTGCCACAGGCTGATTGCCTCCATGCCACACCGCATTGAAGCAGTCATTCATGCCAAAGGATTCCCGACCAAGTATTGAGTGCATAACTGAACATGATTATTTGAAGGTTGGCGTTTTTTGTATTAAAAACACTTGTCTTTCATTGGTGGGAGAAATATGCTAATTTTTTGGGACAGGCATTTTGGGTTTTCATGAGCTGTATGCCATAATCATCAGTATTAAAACAATTAAAGACCTGAAATATTTCAGTTGGTGTGCAATGAATCTGAAATATATGAAAGTTTCATTTTTATCATTACATTATGAAAAATAATGACCTTTATCACAATATGCTAATTTTTTGAGAAAGACCTGTAGTTGCAGTTGTAGCTGCATGGGGGTGGGGGGTCACACCAGATACTGAAAGCAAAGTTTCACAATACTTTTACCACTCACAATCACAAATATGTTATATTGAATCGTTTTCCCCAATAAATAAATTACCAAGTATAATATTTTTTATCTCATTTGTTTAACTGGGTTCTCTTTGTCTACTTTTAGGACTTGCGTGAAAATCTGATGATGATTTAGGTCATATCTATACAGAATATAGAACATTTTAAAGAATTTACAATCTTTCAAGCACCACTATACATCAAGGCAATGCATTACTTGAGGATTCTTCCTTTTTAGGCAACAATATTGATATTATATTATGTGGGATGATGCATCATTTTAAAATCTTAATAGTGTGTGCATGTTTGAGATTCGATAGAAGAAACAGCACATTATTTTCTGTGTGGAATTTAATCAAAGTTTACATATGGATTCTTTTGTATGGGTCCCGTTAACCAGCATGTTAAAACATCGTGTTTAAGGACATTTGTTCCCAAGCATTTGAAATGTGAGACTCTGAAAACAAGCACTTTTTATGACTTTCTTTCGATTTATGTTAGCTTTCAAACACTTTTAATTTCACCTATAGGTTTTCTAATTCTGTTTGAGGCAGCACTTTTATCGAGGTGGAGTGTCTGGCACCTGTCACCACTCGTGTTAGGTTGATGCCTGGAAAAAAATGGATGAAAACAAAGATCTTTTATGGCCATAGTGTGGCAATGAGAAACTAAATCTTGAAAAGTTATTGCAATCTAATGAGGGATTTTGGTGAAATAGAAAACCAGTAAGATGAAAACAAATACTGAAACTCAATCTTATAGCAATTAAATCAGTGACTCTTGTCTGTTCTTTTGAGCTGACACACCTAGTTTGTCACAAAACATTTAAGTAGCTAGTTGATGATTAATTAAGCTCTGCATGTTTCAGCTCATTAAAGATAAATATTTCAGCAAATATCAATTTCATAACTCAATGCACACTGAAAGAACCTTGTACAACTTACTGATAATTCTTTTATTTCTCTTCTCCACACCAGGTTATGCAATGGTCCCAGCAGCTCATCCAGATCTTCAGGTGCTTGTGTCCCTCTCTTGTTTGTTCGGGCTCTCTTCCCTCTGCTTTTCAGCTGAGGTGGCTGTGATTTCCCTTCTGGCCAGCACTTCCTAAGAGGCCAAGATTGCCAAGATCTGTCCGGTGGCGAGCATGACGGCCACCACGCGTGGCTCTCCGGTGGGGGGCAATGACAGCCAGGGCCAGGCACCTGATCCTCAAAGCCAACCCCCACTGCCACAGAATCAGGTCAGCAGAATTCTTCTATCAATTACTTAAAATTGAGTCTGTAATTATTTATTTTTGTTTGTTTTTTCAGGATAGTGCTGCAAAGCAGTGTTTTGGTCCATTGTAGATTTGTTAAATAGTTAAATTTAAGTCAACTTTGCTTGCACCCAGTTACACAAAAATGCTGGTGGGGACAAAAAGGGTTGGGAGGAGGTTGCAGAAAAGAGTAAGAGTGGAAAAGTGAAGAGACAAATGAATGAACAGAGACTCTGGAGTGACGGTTCAAGGGTGTGTGAGAGAGTCCTTGATGTATGTGCACGTGCAGGCCTGTGGTGGATAAAGATGAGCTGTAGCGAGACGTGATAGGCAAGCTGCCTATGTAGGTCAGTCAAGCAGAAGGAGCCTTCACCATACTCCCCCACATTTTACATTTCTCAGTTACGTATTCCTCTCAACAATGACTATCCCTCTTTTACACTGTTATACACCACTTCTTGTACTACTGCTGATGTTTATGCACAATCACTTGACATGGAAAGAAATGATCTTGGCTTCTAAGTGCAGACTTATGTATATCCATTGTTTTCATTTCTTTTAGATGCTTCATTTTTTTAGTGCTGTTTGACTGCACTGAGATACAACTACATACTAATACATTTAGATCAGACATGTCGGCCCTTACTTTTCTAATTCTTTTGCTTGACGTAAAAGATGTAGCTAAAAGAACTGGCCTGAAAGACAAGTTTGGAAATACTAGTCTCCTCTAATACCTGTATGTTTGTGTAGCTACTGTTAAAATCATATAGACATTGTACAACAAAATTTGAATAGGACTATCTTTTCATTGACACACATTTCTACAGAAACTGGAGCATGGGTAGAAAGTAAAGCTTGACCCTTGCTTTGCTGAAATGATACTCAGAAGGGGTATGAATCAGACATGTTTTCATTATCAGGTTACCTCGAAAACTTGGGCTTGTAGTCACCTCTTGCTCCGTCGGGCCAGTAAAAGCAAGAGCTTTCTTAGAACCAATGTGTAGTGTAGCCCAGGGCTTGAAGCTGGCATTTCAATTATTGGACCAAATATCCTTGAGCATAGCCATAAAATCTGCCCGCAGTACATGGGGTCTTTGTAGAAATTGCCCTGAATGCCATAAAGCAGTCTTTGCTTAGGTGCAGTTTAAACATAGTTTATAAATAATTATATTATGGAAATTGCAGCTGCTCTGCACATTAGGGATGGGTGGTGTTACAAACCTGGTGTAACTAAAAGAATAATAAAAATAAAAACAACGTTGCTTTGCATAGTGTCATCAAAATCTCATCTCTAAAGCGTGCACAATTTGAAACGCTGTTTTTACACTAACCAACGCACTTCCTGTATGACATCTTCTGGTGCCATCCCTGATGTGTGGTGTATCGTAGTATTTTCTCAATAGTGATCACCATTGTTTAGGAGGGAAACTGCAAATAAATGTAGTGCTGGTAAAAATGCAGCGACTCAACTACGCCACTATCACAACTAACTTGCACCTTGATCAATGTGCAGGTATACTTTGTCATTATTTTACAACCTAATAAAATGTCAACCATAAAAGTATAGACAGATAAAGATAAAGTCGTTCAGGCTTACTCTATTTGGCCAAAAAAAATACATAAAGCACTTTGAACATAATTGCTCATCACAGTGAACATAATTGCTCATCACAGTGAAATTAAAGTGTGCATTGGTTTATAAAGGAGCATAAGAGGTGCACTATAATCTTTTCAAATGAAAGTTTTGATCACTTGGTTACTATAAATAATTTGAAGCTAGTTTCAGTTCAGACATTTCTATGTAGATGGATACAAATTAGTCATAATAGACCTAACACGAAGCAACAAGAATTACATGCAGCAAACTTGTTAAATTCTTGTTTGTTTTATAACTAAACACCAAAACACAACATGACAGAATTGTCCACCTGTTAAATTGTAAGCATGTGAAGCTTTGGATAACATACACCAGCTTCAACAAACTGTAGCAATTTTTTACAATATACATGCGTTCGTTGAAATCATTTAGCTGTTTTTCTGATACTGCTCCATATGGCAAAAATAAATAATGGTAAAATCGCAACATACTACTTCAGTCTGGCACTGTCTTGATGTACTGAACAGGGATTTTTTTTCCTTTGCAGTACTTGGCAAATAACAATTTGAGGGTTGTCTGCTCAAGTCCCTAAATTAATTGTTGAAATGTTACAGCTTTGTAGTATAATTTGGCTAATTATATTAATGATTAACATTTTTAATGAAAGTGACAGTGGCTAATGCAGTTTGTTGGAGAGAGAGAACTCAAGATACGTACATGTTACCATCAGTAAATACACTTCAGCTTTTGGCAACACTGTGATGTATTTTGCTCACTGTTTTTTTTTAATACAGGAAGAATTACATTTTTATAATTCTGTGTGGGAACAATTGAAAATTTTACTTTACCACAACCTTTTGGGTTAGGGCGGCTGTGGCTGAATGGTTGGAGCAGTCGTCCTCCAATGCGAGAGTTGGGGGTTCGAATCCACCAGCAGTCACATGCCGAAGTGTCCCTGGGCAAGACACTGAACCCCTCATAGCCTCTGATGTGTGTCCCATCAGTGTATGAATGTGATAAAGTTCTGATTAGTCTCTTTAGACTGATTTGTTCAATTAGCTTTGTAGAGATCTAGTAGAGTGCTGTATGAATGGGTAAATGAGGACACAGATTGTACTGTGAAGCGCTTTGAGTAGCTTGAAATAAGATAGAAAGGCGCTATATAAGTACAGTCCATTTACTATTTACCATTTTGTAATTGGTTATATTGTTTTTATTTGTGATATTTTTTTCTTTCCCAGACATCACCTCCTAACTCATCCAATGAGAACTCTCCAGTGAGCCCACCTGATGAGCAGGGCCACGGGGATGGGCCCCCTCAGCTGGAAGAGGAAGAGCCTGCTTTTCCTCACACTGACCTAGCCAAGCTTGATGACATGATCAACAGGTATTTACTTGTTTTCTGACACCAAAGCTGCACGTAAAGTGCTCTGAGTTACACCACCAGTTAAATTATTATTTTTTTTTTTTTCAGACAGTCCAGTTACCAGTTATTTTGTTCCAAGCTTCTCCCTTTATTATATTGGTGAAAATTTGCAGTGCTTACCATAACCACAAATAGAAAATGTAGTTAAAACGTTGAGGTTGATGGATGTTGATCTTATTTCCATGCCTATAAAGTCTAATTATTTTCTACACATTTATGAATGCAGAATGCAACACTTTAGTCTCACTGTTTAAACAACTATTATTGATTGATTTAACGTTAATTTTCCAGTTAAACAATGTCATTTCCAGCTTTATGCTCTGATCATGCATATACTGAATGTCCAGGCTATTCACTCTCTTTGATGCTTTAGGCCTCGATGGGTTGTTCCAGTTTTGCCAAAAGGAGAGTTAGAAGTCCTCTTGGAAGCTGCTATAGATCTAAGTAAAAAAGGTAGGATGTACAGAATGTGCTTTTGATTCAGCACTTTGTGACTTTCACTGTCAATGGTGCTGATTTCAGGGGCTCTCAGTTTCAGATATTCTCAGTCAGGTTGTTAATCAGAGGAATTTCATCTAGAAGTTTAGAAAAAGGCTCAACACTGATTTCTGTTTCAATTAAAATAATATTTTGAGTTTTATAATTTGATCAAACACTTTTTCCATATATTCATAGGTCACTTGTAGAAGTAGCTTAACTATAATACATAATACATAATTCTGATAACATTAATTCAAACTTAAAGAAAAATCTGATAAGAGTTTTTCCTAAAACAAGCAAAGATACTGTCTGGAAAATCACATACCCAGTCATCATACAGCTATTTCACTCTGCAGGAACACTTACCTGTTTGTTCATGAATACAAAATGGACTTTGTCCTGAATGTTTTGTGTCGGATTTCTTTTTAAACAGCTTGTACATAAAAATTAGTAGTAGAACAGTTTTGTCTAGAATATCACATGGATCTGAGAGAAATGTTTTTGAATTTTTTTTTAGAAAAATTTTTGAGTGTTTCTTGAGTGAGCCATATTTACATTCTACTATTTAAGCTAAATGCTTTTCCAAATCAGATCTGTTTAGAGCATTTTGCATCAGTGCTCTTGTATCATACAGTAATTCTATTTCTTCTTGCAGGGCTGGATGTGAAATGTGAGGCATGTCAGAGGTTTTTCCGGGATGGTTTAACTATTTCCTTCACAAAAATTCTGACAGATGAGGCAGTCAGCGGCTGGAAGTTTGAGATACATGTAAGTTTTTATAGCTATTTTGTCTTCTAGTATGATTATTTAAGTAAAGAAATCAGGGAAAAAATAGTCACATAAAAATGTTTTAGAAGCATTACTAGATCTCATAAATTCACAAATTCTAATGTTAATAATGTGGACTGTCCTGATAAGGGTTTGTCAAACTGAATCCAATTTAGTTTGTTTCAGAACACATATCCTCTACATTTCTGACAAATGTTTTATTTGTAATGTCATAATAAAGATGTATTATTATGACCTGTGCTGTGATTAGACACTACTAATGATAGTTTATTGGAATTTGGCAAATGTTTTAAATTTTGTCTTACAATTGAGTTTTTGTTTGGTTTTTGTAGAGCTGATGCAATGTCAGCAGTAATGTTTTTTTTGTTGTTGTTGGGGAAAAGGTGAATCTGACATTTCTATTTGGAGGAGTGATTTTTGGAACATTTTCACAATAAATAAGGGTCTCAATGGTTATTTAGTGAGAGCTTGTGGAAAATGGGGAAAAAAATGTTAGTCATTGCATTTCTCTAAACTGTTGATTTGCTGTTTTTAAAGTCCGACACACTTGAATCATTATTTTTCTTTCACACATCTTGTAGCTACATAAACCCTTACATGATTGAAGTCTGTGAATGTTTTTTGATCTGCTCCGATGAGTCAGTCCTTATTGATCACTGATATCTGGTCCTCACATGTGAAGCAGTCAGCAACCACAATGGGTGTTTTTCTGATAGCATGAATGACAGATACTTTTTCCACCATCACATATTTTAAATTTCAATTAAAGCGTCAGAATGTATCACATTTGTTTATGTTAAATGTCAACTGCACAGCGGGGGCACACTTGAGAGAAGGAGTTCTGTGCAGGAGCCATAATTATGAATGCACTTGTCATCTTTCTGAAAGGATTAAATTAATTGCTTTAGTTAAGCTATAATTGGAGGTGGGGTTTGGGGGGGTGGGTTGGAATGCATAAATTTTGCATCAGCCATATCTACTTTAGGACTGACTTGCTTTTTCTACTTGTGTACAGTGCTGCTGTGCACGTGCTAGATCAATACATTACTCACCTTTGTTTAACGTTCTTAAATTGAATTAAAGTTCTCAGTCGCCACAACGATTTCCATCATTTTGAATGTAGCCAGGAAAGAGTTCTGTCATCTGTAAAAATGAGATGAGGAAAAAAAACGTGTTTGTTGTGGTTGTGTTAAAGCCGTCCAATCTAATTCTGATACTGGGAAACTGATGCTGCTTTCAGCAAATGATGCAAACCAGAGCCATAATTTTCTCTGATTAGAACTGGCCAGGGCAGGTCGTGCTTTCTGATAAACGGTGAGCCCGGGTTCGAGCAGTGTTCCCAACTTAAAGACTTCCTGTGAAAGCACCAATCATTCTACAGTTCCTGTCCTGAGCGAGCAGCGGCTCCGTTGTGAGCCCGGCGGTCAGGATCACAGAGATTCCTGTTGCACTCGGAGCAAAGACACACACACACTGCAAACGAACCACTCATGCACACAGCCACCTCTGACCCCGCTTTGGCTGACACACCTCCCACATCGTGCCCAACCTCCCTGGGACTTTTTTATTCACACCTGATAGTCCGGTAGACTCGGTTCGGTTGGGGACCAATATTCATGACATTTTTGTTTACATTTGAGCTGGTGCATTTGCATTCACACTGCACAGTGCAGTCGATCCAACCTGTTGAACCAACCTGTTCCCCTGCTCGCCTGTGGGGGCGCTGCACCAAGAACTACTGAAAGAAACAACACAAAAACCTCTGAAGACACTTCTTCTGGAAATAAAAACAAAAACGGAGTGGCATCAAGTTTTAGCAGTTTTGGGGGTTATATTTTGTCATTTTTCAAAAATGGACTCGGCATGAGCAAAAGATGAGGCAGAAGACCATGAAGAATATTGTTTTTCACACAAGGCAGCTGACGGCTCCATATAAGGTAAGAGAAATGCGTGTTTGTTTGCTTTGCGCTGTACTCCACTTCTTGCTTGTGGAGCAGGGCTCGGTCTGTTTTACATTCACACTGTACTGGAACTGTGCTGGAGTTCTCTTCTACCGGACCAAGACCTAGGTTTTAGCCCGGGCCAGAGTTTGCCTTTTTGTTCCGTGACAGAGTTTGATGGCGCGTTCACACCTCCCCAAACGAATCGGACTTTCTAGGAAAACGAGCTAGAGTTCGATTAAAGCGGACTAAACAGGGCTGGTGTGAATGCACTCTACAATTTTACATAGTATGACTGCAGATGGGTTTGCAGTGTCGCCATCGTACAGACATGTTTAACTCGCATACGTGTGACCAAACTCCTGGTCTCTCCTCGAGAGGGAGAGCTGCTGTGGGAGCATGTAGTAGAAAAAAATCCATTCACAAACACTTCTTCAAATTTAATTTAATGAGTACAAAGCTTTGGAGAACTGAGGCAGACAGATAAAAGAATAACCAGAGCATGCTCTGAGTCTGAGTGCTTCGAGTGTTCTAACTAGAGCCTGACTGATTTATCGGTAGGGTCGATATTTTAGGCCGATATAGGTGTTTGGGGACACATCAGTATCAGCAATAGCCAAAATTTCCATACTGGTTGGTCTGTAGTTCTAGCCTAGACAAAGTTTTATATCCATCTTTTTATAGGGAGCGCTGTAGGTGCCCCCCCCCCCCCCCCCGGGCATCAGACCCACAGAAGTTTAGTCCAGATGTCCTTAATCAGAACATTATCACCAGAGAATCACAGTATAATGAAGTAACAACGTGGACCAAAACATGTTTTCTAATCTTTACCACGGTGCCATGACCCCATAACAGCAAAATGATAAACAAATCTGCTGAACTCCCTTCAGTCCATCCGTTCTGCACGGTCATAGAAAAAAGATGATTGTAATGTTCAGTTCACAATGACCTAAAACCAAATGAAGAATTATGAAAGGTTATAATATAGTGAAATAATATTACACAAGGTGGGCCTGTGATCGGAAGATAGCCGGTTCAAGCCCGAGTACCGACAACATCAGAAAAATGTGGGTGGGGTGGGTGAAACACCCACACTTGCCCCCACCCTCATTCGCCCCACTCTGGGCCCATGAGCAAGGCCCTTAACCCCCATCTGCTCCCTAAACAGGTCTCTCTTGAAAATGAGTTCTCATTGCTCAATGAGACTACCTGTATAAATAAAGGGTAAATTAAAAAAATATAGATGCATAATTTCCATCACACGTGCACTAGGGTGTGTAACAATACATCGATTTACATCGATATATCGATTAAATGATTGATTCAATTATATTGTGGCAAAACTAAAACATCGATTCATGTCATCTTTAAAATATGCTTTTATTTTGAAATTCCCAAGGCACGTCTGTGTCACCATTTTTGCACGCGGCTGTGCTCTGCGGCCGTGCTCTGCGGCTGCCTTAGCAACTTGGCAGACGAGGCAGAAAACACATGATGAAATTCACTCTCCAGCTGGATTTAAATCAACACTGGAATTATTTTGGAATCTGACAGAAGGACGGCTCAACAGACAAAACTCATGCTGTATGCAACAGGTGCCAGTGCGAGTTCAAATACTTGGGAAACAACAAATTTGGCCGTTCACCTAAACTCAATATATATTTTTGTTTCTTTATAACTAAAACGCAGTCAGGGCACTTTTTAAGTTAACAAGTTTTAAGAATGCACTTAAACATGAGAAATGTGAGACTATAGTCAAGTCAAGTCAGATTTATTTATAGAGCACATTTAAAACAGAAACTGTTACCAAAGTGCTTAACAAAAATATCACATCATCAAATAAAAAGTAGCAAGATATGTTTACAGCACATGTACTGTGCTGAACTATACTCCACTATACTGAACAGGTCATTTATTTTTATGGTTTCTTTAATCAATAAAAAATGTTTTTTTATTTAAATACCTGGTGCCTGTAATAACAGAAATAAAATGATTACATCATATTTGAATTGTTTTTGTAAATTTATATGTAAATGAGGTGGGCATTTGATATCGCAATATATCGATCGCAGACTTGCGAATCCAATAGAATTGAAATCGTATCGTGACAGACTTTGTGATATTGAGAAAAATTGTATAGTCATAAAAATAAATCAATATAATATCGTATCCAACATTTTTCAGTCAGGTCATCTGGACAGTTTCTTTTACTTGTGCTGAAACGTTTTGCCTTCGATCCGGAAGGCTTCATCAGTCAAGTGTAGTATGTCAGGACAGCTTTGCTGTGGACACACTACTAATTAATTATTCTTAAAGCTAGTTTAAGTACAAAGAATATTAAATTGTTTAATTACAACGGATTCTTTTCTTTTTCGAGTTAAATTTCTGCCATGTGACTAAGATAACTGTGAGTGGATTGTTTAATCAGTGACATGAGACACCATTTTATCTTTGACCCATCAGAATAAATGCGGTCATTTATTTAACAGAATCAAAATTAACATCAAAACATGTACACATTGATTTGCTGATCTGTTTCTGATTAATAAACTTGGCACGCTTTACTAACAAGACAACAGAACATTACTGATCGAGGCCGATTCACCTCTGAAGGCATCGAGCTTGATTACTGGCGAATAAAAAAGTTAAAGAGGAGAAATAGAAGTTTAAAGATTTAAAGAGGGATGAAAGCTATGTGTGGAACCATAACATTGCACCCTTCCTCCGACATCCCGCTCAGCTTTCCGGTACACTTCAGGACGTGCAGCGACTTTGTTACCTTAGATGTGGGATACCTCCACTCCGGAACAGAAGTCCATTAGTACGCTCCCTTTACAGCGTCTCCGGTTAAAGTAGCTGGGAATCTTTAGAATAAATGCCGAAGTACTCGGTTCCACCGAATAAGCTTCCTTAGAAATGGAGCATTTACTGCTCGGGTTAAGTGCACAGCGATGCGAGCTGTGACTCCGCTAAATGGAGGGACCCCTTGGCACATGGTCCCATCCATCTGCTGCTTAAGTGAGACTCATCTCTGACGCA